CACAACATCTTGTTGTCTTATGTACCTAGTTATTATGAGTGCTGGAGACTTTAAAATGAACAGTTGTAGAGAATTTGAAACCTTAGAGTAATGATATCTTGGAGGATTTACATTTGTTCCTGAGAGATGGCTGTTGGAATTGGCGATCCTGGATAATTTTAATGCAGTCAGGGATTAAGATGATTTGAAGCTGGGCTTTTTAGTCCATGTGAGATCCAGACTATTTCTATTTTATTTGCTTCCAGCGTATGACATAGCAGAGGTCCAGACCCCAGTGTGGTGGGGTTCCACAGGCCTTCTTTGCTTGATGAGCTCCAGTGTTTGACCCCTGAGACCTGAGTGCCTGTTAAAAGTTCTCTCCAGTTCTTAGCGGCTTCTCCTAGATTTGATACATGCCTCTAGGGGGGAAATGTGGCCTTCGGTGCAGGGTTTCCATTATCTCCCAGATCTTGACTCCACAGTTCTTTAGTGACCAGGAGTAAATCTTCTTTTCTACATTTTTGTCCAGCTTTTCTAATTGCTTTTGTCAGAAAAGCTTTTTGAATTTACTTTCTCATACTGGATAGTGGAACACCTTTTTAATCTAAGTTCCTTTGGTGAATTAGTGGCAGCTAGGATTGACAACTGGTGCCCTTCCTCATCTTCTATAATCATCCCCTTCTTATTTAGGCTACTCCACCCCCTCAGGCCTCTATGCTGTTTCTTAGCATGTCCCTGTCTTAAGACCTCTGTATTTGCTGTTTTCTTTCTCTGGGGCTTTTTCCCAAATCTCTGAATAGCTCACTCTTTTATTTTCTTCAGGTCTTCATCAGAAGGTCACCTTATCAGTGATATTTTTTTGACCTTGTTAATGAGCACCACATATAAAATAGCAACACCTCTACCCCCTCAAGCCTCTTATTTTTCTTCATTTTGCTGACCATCATAAGGCATATGATTAGTTTCCATCACTATGCTTTTTTTAATTTCCAGCACCTAAAGTTGTCCTGCACATAGAAAATGCTTAATTAATGTTTATTGTTGAGTGAATATAAGAATGAAATTATAATGATGATGATAAAAGTACAGACTTCATAGATGTTTGTGATGGTTAAATATGTTAATAATTTAAGTGAAGCCATTTGCAGCTAAAGTATTAATAAGCACAGCACCAGGTATATGGTAAGTACTCACATAGTATTTCTCAAAATTGTTACCTCTCAAGTGATCGCTTCTCATTGCTCATATTGTAGAGATTGAAAATGACTTGCTTTTTGTAAAGCAAGCCCCCACCCCCACCTTTTTTTTTTTTTTTTCCCTCACAGTAATATGATTAACCTCAGATTTTTACAGCCTTGGGGCTGGGATGGTAGAATGAAGTTTAATCCGTGGAACTCTATTCATGTAGCTGGAGGATTTAGAAAATAGATCTGTGCATTTAAACCAGCTTACAATTTCCAGGCATTCGGGATGCAGCTTTTAAAGTAACTTAATGACTGGGACAGTGATTGAATAGACATCGTTCATTTTTAACTTTTATCTCATAAGGACTCCATTCTGGGAGATTGGCACACTCTCAGTTTTAGGTAATGCAAGTGAAATACAATACTAAGCAGATATAAGCAAATATTATCTTCTGTTGAAAAGGACATCAAGATTTATTGACCTGAGTGGTAAGTATTGACTAAAGCAAATGCTGAAGTCGATGTTTACCACAAGGGACTGTAAATCTTGATGATCAGAGAATATGTAGTTAATCTCAGAGTTTCATTAGAAGTATCTGGAAATCTTGTGGAATGAATCCCTTGAGTATAACTTTCCTTTTGGAAAAACCCCACAACCACCTTTTAAGTTGAAGACACAGAATTCTTTAAAGTACTTGGACATATTGATGAGATTTTTCCTGATTGTTATTAACTTGGACAACTGAGTTCCTACCTTAGGCCTGACAGTGTTACTAGCTAGCTGCTTTCTACAAGAGATTGATTGATATCAAGTTCAGTTGGATTTTGTGTATATTGTTTATATTGTATCATATTATTTATAAGTCTTAATGTAGGTAATTTATAAGATACAAGATAAAAATAGCTTTAACATTTCTAGTTTAGTGGAAATACAGGTTCTCTATATATGAAATAGGCAGTGGCACAAGGCTACATATGACACTTTATGTTTCTGAGACCATAGAAATTATTTTAGAAAGTTGAGATGAGAGGAAATTTGTTGGAAACTTAATGGTAGAGATGAACTGTAAAGAAATTCTTTTTAAGTTTTTATTTTAATTCCAGTTAGTTGATAAACTCTTTCAGGTGTACAATATAGTGATTAATATTTCTGCACATCACTGGGTGCTTGTCATAACAAGGGCACTCCTTAATGCCTATTATATATTTGACTTAACCCCTCAGCCCCCACCCGTTTCTGGTAACCATCAGTTCTCTATAACTAAGAGTGTGTTCCTTGATCTCTCTCTCTCTCTCTCTCTCTCTCTCTCTCTCTCTCTCTCTCTCTC